TATTACAGTCGATAACAGTATTAGATACGTAACCGTGTAGTTGTACACAGCTACAGTCGTTTTACCCAATGGTAGAACCTTGTATTGCCTTCGATATACTTAAAGCTAGCGATTCAATGTAACGAAATAACAAAGTTTCCAGAAAGTGTCTCGATTGTCCATTTCCAATCATTTATGGTTTCTATACTCTCTGTACAGAAATTTTTATATATTTTCGTATTTGATAATACTTTATATATTATTAATGTTATTCGCTTCATTATTCTGTTCTAATATCTATTTGAATTGTATTATATTATATGTGATATGACTAGATTAATAAAATATTTAAGCATTTTTCAAATATTTAACGTGCAAGGAAATGTTAAATTATGTGTAACCTGATTTCCATTATTATTATTATCATTGTTATTCAATACAATGTATCAGTTTGTTAACGCGGAAGAGAAAGCTGTAGGTAATATAGCTCGACTTTGTGATAATTGCTTCGATGCGTTATGGGCCGGTGAAACCAAAATATAGTTTAATTTAACTGCAACCAAAACATGGTGGTTACATCCGTAATAGATTTGCAGTTTCAGCGACCGCATTCGATACACATGTCATTTTACTAATTACAGATACCGGAAGCGGTAAAGTATTTAATTGGCCGGTCACGGACACGATAAATGCTGAGCTTCCGGTTCGCTTGGCTTTTTTCTCGCTTCGAAAACGGATCCGAAACATTTTCAATAAAATGCCCAAAAGTGCATACGCAGCTGCTAAAATATTCGTGGTTAGCGAAATAACGGCAAGAATATCGTAATTATTAATTATTAATGTGGTCATATATTGATTATATTAATTAAATAAAAATATAAACAAAAGCAATATTATTTCAAATAGAAGCGCAAAACAAAGATATATTATGTTTCGCATAAGAATAGTTCGTTGCTTGTTATAAAGCATTTGTATTATATTTTGAAAGATGCACGTGTAAATTTTGCCCTCACTGCCACGACAGATACCATAAATACAGATACAATATGGAATATGTATCTATTATTTTATAATTTGTATGAATAAATGTTATTATATTCACATTTAGATCATACCATATCATATCATATTTTATACATCATATTATGTTGTATTATATTATATCGCATTATATCGTCATTTATTTCACAGATAATAAATGCTCTTTTTCGATCATGCGTTTATATAGCATATATAAACGCCACACAACTTCTCTGCTTGTACAAAAGGAAATGCTTTACCCCCCCCCCCCCCCCGACGAAATAAGCATATGCTCCAATATCTTCATTCGTATTTCTCGAAGCATTTCCTTCGATGAATAAAGGCAAAAGCATTTGCTGCAGTTTATTCATACGATCCAATATCTTCATTCGCCTTCCTCGAAGCATTTTCTCCCTACAGATAAAAAAGGGAAATACCTCCGCTTCGCTTTACCCGCGTTACCCATTAACTTATTGCCAATTTGCGAAGCATCGGCGACGGCGGATGATTACGTGTCATGTCTCTGTACTTGAAGAGAAAGAGGAAGAGAGTTTCAACATATTGTTGTAATCAAGGAAATAAGCTGTACAAATTACAAAAGAATATAAATTCAATTGAGAGTTTTCAAATACAATAATGACAAAAGTATAATTGTATATAACATATGTCATAAATTTATGTTACAATAAAGCACCGTCGTATCTTCACATAAAAGCTCGTGCATTTTTTTTCAAGATTTACGTTACTTTACTACACAAGTGTCAATCTGACTGAATTTATTCGTGCGTTTCCAATTTACTTTGATAGCACGCATCCATAATTCCGAAGCGTGGCAGATTTTTTCCCCGCAAAATCACTCTCCGAACTTATTGTTACATCTCTTCGCTTGTCAGATGCAGCGACGTGAATCGTCGTTGCATAACGATGCAGCCCGCATCCGTTCGTGCTTCCGGGTCTCGCGCGAAGCTTCCGCAGCGTCGTTTCCGAAGTAACGAGCCATTACTCCCGGTCAGATTGAGGCTGAAGTTGCAGTATGTTTTTTCGATAATTACCAGCGCCATATAACCCCCCCGCAACTCCCACCCCGACCTCCTATCCAGCGCAAACGAACGTCCACCGCTAATATTAAATCAGGCGGCGAAAAAGTTGGCCGTTACTCCTGATATCGAGCGTCCAATTATCGCCGACGCTAAATCAGTTCGAAGCGTTGTTTCCACCTGCAGAGAGGGCCCCCTATTAAAAGTTAATGCATTTGTCACACGACCCATAGCACCCCCACGGTATGAACAAACACATACAGACATATTCGCGGAAGAGCGCGCGCGCTTTCGCTGGTTGTTAGGTTTTTAATGGATTTATGATTGAGGAGCGCGACCTAAAAAAATTCTCAACCCACTGGGCAGCGGGGAAACGAGCATCGCAAATGAATACGGTTAATCTCGTTGCGTCCCTTCATCACGAAGCAACTCGACGCGCGCGGCGAGAAGGGAGAGGGGAGAGGGATGCTCGGCTTGCACTTCATCAGCCCGCCTTTCTTTTAATAAGCACATCGAGCTTCGTGGTGAGCTTACTTCTCTCTCTCTCTCTCTCTCTTCTCTCTCTCTCTCTCTCTCTCTCTCTCTCTCTTTTTCTCTCTTCCTGTTTCTTTCTTATTTTTTTTCCCCTCCACGTCAAAACGCGCTTCTAACCACTCTACATTTATCACCGCCCACTGCAGCTTAAGCGGCAATTTTGTTGCGCGCTATGCATGTGCTTGCTTTAGCCGTCCCCCCCGGGCAATCCCCTTAATGTATACTTTTTCTCACTGTCATAATTGAGGAGCCGACCGAGGAGGAGGCCGCGGCGCTATCCTCGGGAATGTTCTTCTCTCATAAATTCCGACCTTTACGCCTCGCGCAAGTTGCGCCGCCCTTTGTACCGCGACGTGCCTCGTGTTACGATATTAGAAAAAATTTTCGCGATTTTTCATAAGCCCCGGATCTCTTGCGCTTCACCGGCGATGCTGGCCGTCCCGGACTTTCGGTTAATTCGCGAGTATAATTTTATTATTGAGAGGATGTATTTCAATTAATGTGTACATCTCTATTTACAAAAAACCGAATTAATAACTGAAATATGATTAAAAAGAGTTTCGAGTATTATTTTACAAGCTTAAAAAATTTTTCTGATCGTATAACATTTGATTTGCAACAGTAGTTACTTCGATTACCTTGCATCGTTATTAAAAAATTGATAAAGTCACGCAATATTGGCCTTTATAAAAAATATCATTAATTATCCATTCAAATGAATAACGAGAAATGTCTTTAAAAAAAATGTCAAGAGATAATCGTTTGCTAATGCGCGACGTATGAATCGATTGAAACATTTTTCGAGTTTCTCCCGTACCTATTCAAAGAGCCCAAGAAAGAACTGCGTTGTACAAGCGATGTATAATTTACGACGACGAAAAAATGGATATTTTACCGCGACGACGAAAAAATGGATATTTCACCGCGACGACCATTTAACTTTGCATGAGACTGCCCAAAAGATACGCCGGTGCACCTGAAGAAATACAAGTCCGATATCCCGAAGTGAAATACGCTTATTCTCCTCTAAAGAATTTCGACTGAAAACAATCTTTCGACGCCGCAGTGTCTGTCTCGTGAATTGAAAGTAAGCATCTCACGATGTCTCTCGGCAGCTTCTTAAAGTAACTTTTAATAAGCTAGACGAGTAGCTAATTACATTACTTTCAGCTTGGCCCTTATTTGGCGTGTCTTTATAGCGGCATTTAATTCCCGCTAAACAAATTTCCGATTTGACGGATTTCAGCATTAAAGTCTTCACTATATAAAACAGGTTCGGGATCCACTTCATCTTATGCTCTCTGAGATGGCATATCTAAAAGCTTATTACAGATATAACATTATACGGTTATGTAACCTTTTCAGAAAAGCAGTACTTTCTTTTATGATGCGATTCATTTTCTTCCTTATCTTGAAAACTTAAAATTATCATTCCAGAAGAAAGATAACATCCTATTAAAATGAAACAAGTTGTAGCTATCAGATTAATGTATCTCCTGCTGTACCACTCTCTAAATTTCACTTCTGATTAATATGACGAGCGGTTAGCCGCAATTATTGAAACTACGTACAAATTGTCCCTCGGTCAATCTCTCTGGATTCACATCGATCGAATTCGTCGCGTGCTATCTCCCGAGATTAAACTCGTGCTTTTGCGGTGACTCGCCCGTCAACAATTAGCGAAAAAGCGAGAATGCGCGCACGACCGCATCCGGTTTGATCCGTGTCGGCGTGTCATCGTCACCATCGTCGTCGTCGTCACCGTCGTGCTTTCTCCTCATTCCCCCGTCTTTGACATAGCGCGATCGGCACTTCAGTCTCGGGCTCTCTTTTTCCCGCTCGTCAGCCGGTCGAGCACCAAAAAGGAGGACGTTTTGACCGAGGCGCTTTATCGAGGGGCAAGCTGCCCGATCGACAATATCTCGACAATTCACCCTCCAGCGGAACGCTGCCGATTTCGACCGTTCTCCTCGTCGCCACCACCTCCTCCACAATACCTCTCATCCCCCCCATTCCGCCTCTCTCTTTCTCTCGTCTCTCCCGTTCCTCATATTTCTCTCCATTTTATTTTTCCCCGGAAGGAGAGCCGGCAGCTCGCGGCTGCCGTACATTCGCGCCTCCCACTTTTCCGGCGCGGCGGTCCGCATGTATCAAAGGTACATAATAAATTGAATATTATATCCAACGACGCGAACGAGAGGATGGAGAGAGAAAGGGAAAGAGGAGAGAGAAGATGAAGATAGAGAGAGCAAGGAGAGGCAGCGAGAAAGAAGAAAAGCGGCACCGTATAGTCCTGCGGGCCTGCGCCATGCGAGTCGAGCGCGTCCCGTTACGGCGAGCGTCCCGACGCCGACTCTCTCGACTCGCTCGACGATGCGACCAGCTCGGCGCAGTCAGTACACGCGTCCCGACGCCCGGGGATGCGTCTGCCGGCAGAGGTATAGTTTTGCCGCGCGAGCCGTGTCAATCGTGCGGGTCGGCATTCCGCCGGAAAGCGTGTAAAATTCGCGAGTTCAATACAAAATAAAAAAAAACGGAGAAAAAAGTGCGCGGACAAAGGAGTCAAAAATAAGAATATACGCGCGTATGGCGCGTCGGATCGCACTCTTACCAGTATAATGCTACACTTTTTTCGCGAGGTAATTTTCCTCGATAAAATTATTTCTGTAAAAAAAATTTTTTCGTAAACAATAAGTAATTTAATAGTAAAATAATTGATCTTCAATTTATGCGTTGCATTAAACAGTGATATACATTTAAAATTTAGGATTTATTATGATTGAAGTGAGATTAAGATTTTTTTAGATAGCAACTTTTTAACGACGGGTGATTTTTGCAATTTTAACGACATGTGTGTCTCTCATGTGAGATCAAAGCAAAAGACGTGAGAGGAAGCTATGTCCGTGTTACCTCAAAGTGCAATTGCAATGCAGTTGCGATCTGTTTACGTGATAAGTTGACTCGATACAGAACATGGCAGTCAGGATTTCAAATAAAAATCGGTCGACGCAAATAAAACCAATGTTGCTACAACATTACGGTAAACGATACTATTAAAAGGACATTTTGGAGCATTTCACACAAGGTGTGAATTATTGCGCTATATTTCACGTTATGCGTGGGTGCTGTACTTTAGATATTCTTTTTTCCTGCCGTTACGACGCGCATACCGTACTTTTCAACGAGCACAAAGATACAAAGTGTACGAGAAATAAAGGCGCACTTATATGATGATTTTTACAAGGTAAAAGCAAATATATTTGACGAATAACTCCAGTAAATTTATACTTCAAAAATAAATTTAACATGGAATTTTTTACTAAAAATTTTCAATGTTTTATACACCAATGTTTTATACGTCAAGTATCAATGTTTTATACGCAGAGTCATACTTCTATTAAAAACATGATTTTTTAATAAAAACCAATTGTTTTATGAAATATTTATTTATTTTCATATTAGTATTAAAAATTGAAATAAATATTAAATTTTACCTGAAGAATAAAAACTTTCTATTAGTTTATATAGAAAATAATAATTATATATAGAGAACAAACTCATCAAAATTCCTCTTACAATTAAAGTCGCGCTTGACTTAATTAATGATATTATCACTTTTATTGAAAAAAGATTAGTTTTCGATAATATCGCATATGGCACGAAATGTTTCCATTATCGAACACTTCGCATATGGACATTAAAAATGCATTCATTCATATCTTGTCAGACTTGCAAAGAAAAATACGCGATATCTATCCAGATAAATGAAAGAGAACTTAGAAAAATATATACATGTTTATATATATAAATAAAATTTCCAAAAGTTAAAAAATAATTATAATATAATATACAAAAAACATTAAAATTATTTTATCAAACAGAAACAATCTAATATAGATTAATATTTGCGAATAAAGAAAAGTGAATATCTTTTACTATAAAATCACATGGACGTATTTTCAGAAAATCAGTTGAGAATGTCTCAACGCCGTCAGACAATCCATTATAAATATGAAACATTTTTCTATATATATTCTATATACTTATTTCTTTCGAAACGAAATTTCCTATGCACTATGGCGCTTATGATACTCCAAATGTCGCGCAACGATGCAATTATGTGAATTCACTGTCGCGAAACGTTTAGAGCAATTCTATTCAATGTGAACAAAATGATGTTTATGCACGATTCGCCCACGATACCCGAATTAATTCGTTTTCACACAATGCCGGTCGTTCGTAGAACGGACATATGTCCGTCCGTGATATTATATTCTAGAATTATTCTTCGCATTATGAAAGAGTGCCGGAGAGGGAGATAGAGCGATTCAGTGCGGCGCGGTGGCCGGAATAAATCATTCAGAATGATATAACGTCGTCGATGCGGCGGATCGCAGATCGCGGAAATCTCTGGCGCGCGCGGGGCGAAATCAAATCTGCCGTATTCAGCGGGGTGTATTATCATAAGAAAAAGATTATTGAGAGAATGCGCCGCCGAGATAAAGTCTCTCTCTCTTCTCTCTCTCTCTCTCTCTCTCTCTCTCTCTCTCTCTCTCTCTCTCGGTAAATTGATCAGCCGTCCGAGAGTTTTTCCGCAACGTCGTTTCGAACGCGATTAACCTCGGGGCTCGGACGCGATTTTCGGGCGGTAAGGATCGATTTATCGAGCCCGGATCTCAACGAGGCAGGCTGAAGTGAACGACTATTAGGGATACGACAATTTAAGCCCGCCCGACTAAACCAGTAAATTCTTTCGTCGTATATCACTTTTTATATTTTCTATTCGGATTCTGGTGTGCGCGATAGGGATCAATGTCACTTCGGGTTAGCATCCCCCTCGTGTTTCACGTGTATCGCTGTCATTTTATCGTATTTCATAGCGATCGTTGCGTATTATTCTGTCAAATGTTCTATTGATCATGCAACAAAAACCGTCCACGTACGAGAATGCTGTGGAATTTTGGACTAAAATTTTACTCAAATAAGAAGAAATTAATATAAGGTTTACTTAAATATTGTGCTAGTGTTTCTGTTAAATATGGGCAAAAATTGAAGCTGATAGAAGCTGACAGATGCCAATTTATTTGAACGTTTTATTTAAAATACAGACAAAAAAATCCTCAAAATCTATAAGTGAAATGATTACAAATTAATAAAAAAGAAAAATGTCAATTATATATCTTTAAAAATAGTAATAAATTGTGCTAAAATAAATATAACGTAATATATCAAATTAATTAAATTATTATTATTATTAATATTGACTTCAAATTTCATAGAAAAAAAGAATAACGCTGTACGTTCAGTTTCCGTCAATTTTAGACAGTCTGCCACTTTATTTTATTGCAAACTACATTTTTTATTTCTGATGTTTTTATCTGTTTATAAAAATAACAACATCTGTGCTATTGTGCCACAATATGACGGCCATGGTGTAGTTTCAATTTAGGCATTTTTTTTTTTTATACGCTGAATATAAAAGACTCAAGAGAAGAACGTATGTACAGAGCTTCTCGCTTGCGCCGATCCTTTTTTTCGGAAAATTCCCGCAGTAGAATGAGAACAGGAAACTTCCACGATCATTATTCCACTGCGAGGAGTGAATTTACGTTCGCAAGAGGAAAATTTGGTCGTATATAAATCTTCGCGTTTCGTGTTTCTCGTTTAGCGTTTCTCGGATTTTAGCATTTTCCCTGAACGCGGTTTCTATCACGCGCTGCTGCGCGGCGATTGATATTCTAGATCGGCAGTATAACATTTGCCTGACTCTTCTGCCTGCGGCGATTGTTTGCGGGCAAACATCCGGATCGCAGCGAATGCGCCTAAGAGGAGAGCAGCAAATGAAGTTTTACTTGCACAGCGCACGACGGATCGTCTTTATGGATGTTGATATTGCCAATCTCTCGGCGCAGCGAGCGGCTTCCGATAATGGGGCGAAGATCAGATTTATAGGCGCAGGCTTTTACTTCGCGCCTTACACAGAAAATTACCTCTGTGAGGTAGGCGGCTGCTGCGGATATTGCGATGTCAAAAATAAGCACGAAAGGGAGAAAGAGAATGAGGGAGTAAAAGCAAGATTGTACAGCAAAAAACGATGCTAATAATGCAGCGAGTAATGATGAACTGGGATAATAAATTCAATAAAAGCGTATGAGAATAATACGTCCGATCGAAGAGACACGAGGCATTCGGAGGCTGGATAGGAAAAATATTTTCAGAGCAAAAGAGAGAGAAAAAGATCGAACAGTGGAAATTACAGCAGCGGAAATGGAGCGAGAATTAAACTCCGTGGCGCAGATTAAAATATTTTCACGCGGCGATAATTGAGGAATAAAAGATTTTCGCTGCGCTCGAATAAATCAAGTTCTCCTTGGGGTGCGCGCCGGATTTTTCTCTTCCCGTATCTTATCGAATCGAGATGCCGCCAAGATATATGCGCGATCTTTAGACGGAACACGAAGATATTCCGTTCGTATCGTTGAATTCATAAAATAAGAAGGGAGAATAAAAAGCAGACGTCAGGCGCTAAGAGAGAACACGCCTGAATTTATCCACGCAAGATCGATCGCGATCGACGCGATTTTACTTTATGATGTGCCGAGGATTAAAATCGAGAGCGCGCAGATGGGATCGAAGTAAAGAGACTGGACTAAAATCTCGATCCGAAATATTTTTTTACACGCACAGATAACCAAACGCGCCAGACGAGAGTTTAGCTCCCCGCTCGGCCAGGGAGCTAAACTCGAGCTCAACAGCTTGGCCCCGGGTTTTTCCCTTAACTTCCATCAGATAAAATTGCAGGAGGAGAAGCTGCTTCTAAAGACTCGAGAGAAGGTAAAAGAAATAGGGAAGTATCCCCGGTCGGGAAGTGAGACTGAAATTAAGAACCGGAGGCAGCGACGGAGCGACGTTGAAAATATCCCGACTGACGGTGATATTCGAAAATACGAGTACCTCCCATGCGATATAGAAATGACGAAAATAGTCAGAGCGGGAGATATAATATATCAAATGTTTCTCCTCTTGACCTTTATCTCGTCCCAAATCACGATGCTTTCGCCGGGAGATCTTTCACTTCGTTCCGAGCCTCGCGAGGACCATCGATCACACGCAAGCAAGATGGGACAAAGAGCCCCATAATCTGACATCGATGTGTGCGAAGAGAAGGACTGACAGAAAGCGGGAAAGAGAAAAAAAAAAAGAAAAGAGAAACACCGTGGAAGAGAACCGAGAGTAACGAGGGTCGGAGCGAGACAGGACTCGAGGAGAAGTTTTCATTTAGTCCTGTCGTAAATAAGAATGTGGGCGTATAAGCACGGACGAGGAGGTGCGCTAAATTCCGTCTCGTACGTGGACTGAAATCTCCGCCGCTAAATGGCCGAGGTAGTTATTTACGAGACGACGTAAAGGATAATTGTCCCGCGCGTGTTTCCTCCAAAGGACGACGACGACGAGCGATCGCAACCTAGGATGTATGGTCCAAGTCCGGCAAAACAGTTGCGGCCGATTTTCGTCGAACACATACATCACACGGAATTGCCACAAACTTAGCGTTTATACGTCACTTGACAAATGTATCGATCGAGAAGGGAGACAAGGAGAAGCGCACAAAACAACGTAAAAAAACTGACTGAAAGGAGAGTACACAAGAGAGTATATGGCGCGAGGAAAGTTCTCGCACACGTTAACCGGTTCGCCTCCTTCCGCCGCCTTCGGTGATTCGAAGGTAGCTCGGGGTGGTCTCACCCTCCTGCAAAGCTTCGTTCTCTCGTGATAGGCACGGCCGATTAAGTGAGACATTTTCCTCTTAAGTTTATAGTTTTTAGTGTTTTACTATACATTGTACATTTTATTAATCTCTCTATTATTTTTAATTTTCAATTGTTCTTACTGTTATTTTTATACTTTTCACTTTGTTATTATACCTCAACGCAACGGTACTGTTAATTATTAATACTGCACACATTATCCATAATTTTATAATCATAAGGATTCCTTTGTGTGTATGACATGATAAATTCCTTGTCTATTTACGCATTTCGTTAAAAAATTATGAAATTTTACTCGTGGAATATATTCAACAACACGTGGGTATATATAACATATGTTACATGAAGAAACGCACTGTAATATCACATGACGCGCGGTGTATTAATTTCAGTCAGAATTGTGAAATCGGGTTTTCTCAAGTGTTATCATCAATAAAATATTATTTTACCTTGGCAAAATTGATTTTTTGAAATACCAATTAATTTAGTAAAATATTTTCTACGGTTTTGCAAAATGTGAAAACTTAAACATCTATATTTCCAATATCTATAATAGTTTCGCAGGTATTTACATATAAACTTACTCCGTTCAGTGACGTATAAAACAAACTTTAAATCAAATAACGCGTTTTCAAAGTTTCAACGATCCCGAAACATGATATGCAACATAAAGCTTTGCATGGTTTATTAAATCTTTAAATATTCATTATCTATTAACCTATTTACTTATTTAGTTTAATACATGAATTTAAACGTTTCGAAATAAATCGCAAACAATTGGCGAGTGTGAATTATTATCATTCGGCTTACATTTATTTTGGTCTTTTATGATTAATTAATTAATTAATTAATTAATTAATTAATTAATTAATTAATATACGTTTGAATTAATGATAATCAAAACATATCACAATATGCGGAGAAACTCATCATATATATTGCACTTTGTAACAATTACTCCGCTAGTTGATCGAACTAGTAATTAATGTCAATTTGTACGAGAAATTTCCTCGTTGGTAGAAAAATCCAAGAGGTAGAAGACGCGACAAAATGAGACAGAGTGCGCGCGCGAGTCTGTTATTATCGCTCAGCTTTTCTTTCGTTCTTTTCAGAATGAGGGTGGCACGGCTATTACTGTGCTGCGTACTTCTCGAAGACTACAGCACCAATCTCGGCGGAACGGCAATTACCAGTGACGCCATGCGCCAGGACGGCCTCTCGTCCGCGACGAATCCGACGCAATCAGGTACATAACCCGTACATACTCATCTGCATACTACTGGTCGGGTTTCTTTTTTCCTCGCTCCTCCGCGACCCATGGAAAGATTGCGTAGACGAAAATTCCTGCTGGCATTAATGGCACGTACCGGGGAATGCGCGCGAACAAATATCCCCGTATTATCGCCGCGCGTAAAAATAAAGGACACTTGTCGCTCCGAAAGCCTTTCACTCAGTTCCCTCTAATAAACATTTGAGATTGGAGATTGGAGATTTCCCCCCCCTTCCCCCCGCCTGATATATTTCAGTTAACATACGTAAGTAGAGAGGGTTCACGAAATTATTCGATATAACTAAAGTTATATCATGCATAAATTACCATACTTGTATTCAACGTGAATATAGATTACCCCCTTTCGTTGCTTCGCATAACTTACTAATTGAAATTGACTTGAACAAAAAATGATAAACCATTGTCATCCAAGCGTTCCATTTTCGATCTTATTCATGCATATTATCTTAAAACAAAGCTAAAACAAATATATTCGATTAAAATTTAATATTTGATATTTAATATTTACCTAATATTTTATGATTCAATATGCGCAAATATTATAAATATTCCTGTATTATTTTATCGACAAATTTTGTGACAATAGAAATGATTCACATCAGACACGATTCATTAAATATTAAAGCATTTTTCTGAATTGTTATCAAAATCTAATTCACGTGAAAAAAAAAGCAGATAATTTGATATGTGAATATGTGAAACACATAGCGGAAAAGTGCTTATTTCCTAAACATTTAACCTAAATGTGCGAAACCCTAATTTTGTTTCTTTCGATTGATCGGCTCGAATCTAGTGATATCGCAACGGATACCGTATTTTCTTTAAGTTGCGTCGATATGGTTTTTCAATTATTTGATAAGATCGTGTGTTCCATTCGTGTCAATGAGCGGATGTATTTGACCAGCAATAATTGGGGAGGGGAGGATTTCTTTACGTTGCGTGCCGAGCCGTAAATAAATGTCGTAACGTCACATGTTTCTTGCACGAGAGCAGATATCTACTCTACGACGTCTGAAGGGCTTCCCCGCGGAGCGCATAAAGCTTTGTGGAAAATCTGAATAATGCATTGTGAAATATTATCTATACGTGGTGGATTTATATGGTGTTTTCGCCGGCGATACGTTGTCTGCCTTTATCATAAAACCCGATAAACTTTGACAAAGAAAAGAGAAATTTCGTTACGCAAATCTCGATCCGACACGCTACAGCGTCGTATTGTCGTTAAAAAAATATACTGCTACAACATCAAATAAACGAAAAATATGTTGAAAAAAATTTAATATTTACGGCAACAAAAATAATCATAAAAATTTAATAAAGCTTTATATTAAAATTTGAATTGAAATTAGAATTATATGTCTAATAAATATTATATAAAAATGTAATATTAAATTATTTGTATTTTTTTCGAGGATTAGTAAAATTTTATGCAGTATTTCAACAAATTAAAGAGAAAGCGATTTATCATTATGTATTCATACAAATACAATGATAATACACTTCTCATATTTGCAAACAGCTGGATAATATAAGCTGCTTTTCGCGAATTCTCCAAAAGCCCCATTGTCATCTCACTTTTGACCTACCGACGGTCTTCCTGCATAGTTTCTGAAAACCATAATACCAGCGTAAACTCGAATTTAATGAGTAAATACATATACGAGCTTATAAAGCTTACTAAAACACTTCAAAGAGTGCATAATGACGTCAACGTTAAACGTAGCAGCGAGTTTGCCGAGCACACTCAATGCATGCAGATTTCATTGCCATTTATTTTTTGCGGATTGTTCAAAAGTCGCGGCTTACATGCTCGTCGGATCACCTTCATTTTTTTCTCTCTTTCACAGTTTCTGCACCCGGGAGCGCATTATCACAGCCGCGCGATATTTTATGAAGCTAATCGTCAGTGCATTCACAGATAGGCAGCCGGAAAATCCATGCATGTCAAAGCGCGAGTGTTTCCACGATATTCAGCTTTTTTTATTCATCGACGAAGATAATGGAAGCAGCGTTTTATTTCATACAAATATATAAATTGCGATAATTGAGATAAAAAGAATATAATAATTAATATAATTTATAAAATGTATATTGCGTATAAATGTATATACATTTGCAAATATTACTATATGTCATTTGGAGAAATTATATCTGTATCTCAGTTGTTAATTGAATATTTCAAACCTATTAAATGTTTTATTTGATTAGTTTATTTTATACGACAAAAGAATTAAGTTAAAATTATTTCACGTTACGCCGCGTTCATTCGGAACAAAACTTTGTCACGGAAAAGTCGCTCAATCGCGCGTATCTTGCAACTCGGCAGTGCCAAAACGCAAAATCGTCCGAAAGGTAAAAGAAGGGGAAACTAGACGGAACTTTTATCGCGAGTGATCGCGAGACGAGAGAGAGGTAAACGAGAGCGGGAGAAGAATAGTGCCGCGGAGAACATTCTCGTTGGCGGGGGGGATCGTCGCCGTCGTCGTCCTCGCGTCCGAAGTTGAAGTGGTTCTAGCCGGCCCGGCATTGCAACCGGGTCCATGCCGGTTAGTTCGCCAAGTTTTTCCTTTGAGGATGAAAGATATTAATTAAACTGTCACAGACACGGTAGCGTGCGCGCGCGGAACCCCTGCCAACTTTATTTCGCCACTTACAAGTTTACCACTTAGGCGCCAGCGCTCACGAAGGAGCGAGCGAGCGAGCGAGCGGCCGAACAGACGGGCGGGCGAACGGACTACTAGTCATCTTTTTACGACTTTAACGTGTGATATTTATGCGCACGATAGAGAACAAGCGGAATCGTGACACGACACGCGAGAATGTGACGTGTGCATGCGAAAGAATTGGCCAACTGTGCGCGCCAGCAAACCAGAAATAGGCAAGTTTCTCACCTCTTTTTTTTTTTACTTTTTACATGTATTCGATATCTGTATGTAATCAACTATATGGACAACATATAATATGCAAATTACAAAACTGCAAAAAACCAAGTTAAATCGGAAAAAAAATTCTTTCAATTTTTAACAAGAAATATCTCGTGAGCATTGTTCAATAAATTTTTTAAATCCCTTTACGTATTTTCGCTCCTCGCTTAGATTAAAACGTCTATATAATAAATGACTCTTTCAATCACCTATCTACATGTCAAAATTATATACTTTATTTAGTTTTTCTTAGCCGATATCTTGAAATAGCCGATTACTCTTGACATGTCGGTAACCGATAACCGATAACTGAAACTGGAACACTATGTATAAAGATGGTAATAGAATGGACGCTAAAGCAAAATTGGCTAAGGGCAACCCTTTGAACCGACCCTGTTGCGCAGGCCAAGTGAGTTTCGTGCTTCCAAACATACAAGAGAAAATATCTACAGGCAATGTACGTCAGCCAACGGCTACGTCACGTTAATAATCACATGCAGATGTTGTAAGACGGACATTTTCAATGTGCAGATTTAGTTGAACACTATAATCTCACATAATCGGACACTTCAAAATCTAGTCACAGTTGCTAAATATTCAGTGAAAGAATTTATTCTTTATAAAGATTACCGCATAACAGATTCTTCTTTTATCTTAGTGATAACACAGTATTTTAATACATACAGCGTATAAATTTTAAAAAATATATTATAAATAATAAAAGAAATAACAAATAAAAATTAAAGTATTTATCGTCTGAGTTTTCCAGCGTATTAATTAAAAACTTTGTTTAAAAGTGTTTATAAATGTTTCATGTAAAAATTTTTATTAAAAGAAAAAATATAATTTTCTATAAAATAAATTATAAGTTATCTCTCTTAAAAATCAGTTTTTCACATTTTTTTAAACTAATACAAAGCTTGATTAACACAAAAACCTACAATAACTTGTTGCAAAATAGGATACGCAATGTGACATGCGGTGATATGAAGTGATAGACCAGTCGATACCGAACGTGTTGATCTCATTCGTGTAATGATTAAGAGATGATGTAATACAAGTTGCACGGCGCGGTTATCATTCGCGCTTCGGACAGTATAACGATCTTATCTATCAAATGACACGGTGCGCGCGTGATGTCAGATTCTCGCGTGCAATATAGACTCGTACGTGTCTATCTGCGTAATACGTGACGTCGCAATACGTCTGCCTATTCGCGCGGTGATACGTCATTCCAGATATATCGTTCATAACACAGATACATTCTGGACAAGCAGAAGCAGAGCTTTACCGTAACCGCGATTATCAGCTAAAAGCTCATTGACACTGATCACGTAGGTAAGCACGTTTTAAATAAAATATTGAGAAATGGTTAAAAAAAGGAAATCACGAAGAAGTCACACGCCAGAAAAATATCTACGCAATATTTCTATGCAGATTTGTAGCAGAGTTTATAATAGAAAGTATAAACGTTTGTTGCATTAACACACAAATACAAATATCGAGTTACTATGCAATTTTGCGAATATTGGAGTAATTTTCAATTAATTACTACTTTAATTGCACTTGACAAATCAATAATTATGAAAGCAATAAGCAAAGATTGATCGGCTATAAATATAAAATAATGATAGTTTATAAACAGTAATTCGCGAACGAGAGATTCATCAAACATGAATACAAAAAGCTCAATAACACTGCACATGAATACAGGTGTATAATTAATCGTTTTCAACTAGAAATTGAAAATGATCCGTGATTATCTCCGATTGCATAAACCAGCTCCACCAGTTCAAATTGCAGAAATATCACTCTGATCATCGGAGGCGCGATTAAGACGCGGGATTAAAGTTTCGCATTTAGCGTCACAGGTGCTACGCGGACGGTGCGACTCTACGAGTATTCCGCGGGGAAAACCCTTTAGACGCTCGTGCGCATACTATATAACACTGTATATATATGCAAGCGTGTCCGCGTATAGCCGGCGAAACGTGTTTCGTTACCGTAGTTAACTGCGTTTACACAACACAC